GTGGAAACAAACACATTGATATAAAATTTGTCATGGAAATATATTCTGCAAATAATTTAATATTTAATGTTTATTTTAGGAATAACAGCAGTTCATAGTTGCCATGTGAAATTAACTTGAACTTGACAATTTTTTAATTATAATTTTTTATTATTAGCATATTCATTATTACAAATCATGATTTTTCCTTATGCCCTTTCCCCAACCTATCACTCCCCAAACGCCCTCACTCCCCCTCATCTTTTGTATCTTTAGATTTGCTCTCTCCTTCTGAAAGTTCAACATATTATTGTCTTTCCTCCCTTCCTACCTTCCTCCCTTTCACCCTTTCTCCTTTCCTTCCTTCCTTCCTTTCCATTCTTTACATCTTTCATAGCACCCAGTTATGACTGAGAACTTGTGGTATTGCTCTTTCCTTCCGTGGCTTATTTTACTTAATATAATTTTGTCCAGATTCATCCATGTTACTGCAAATGGTAGAATATCATTCTTTTTTATGGGTGAGTAGTATTCCATTGTGTATATATCCCACATTTTCCTTATCCAGTTGCCTGTTGTTGGACATTTAGGTTGGTTCCACCTCTTGGCTATTGTAAATACAGCTGCAGTGAACATGGGAGTGCAGGTATCCCTTCAGCGTGATGATTTCCATTCCTTTGGATATATGCACAGGTGGGACTGCTGGATCATATGGTAATTCTATCTGTAGTTGTTTGAGGAAACTCCATACTGTTTTTCATAATGGCTGTGCTAATTTACAGTCCCACCAACAGTGTAGAAGAGTTCCTCTTTCCCCACTTTCTTGCCAGCATTTATTATTCTCATCTTTTTAATAATGGCCAGTCTAGCTGGGGTGAGATATCTCAATGTAGTTTTGATTTGCATTTCTTTGATGATTAGTGACGTTAAGCATTTTTTTTTTCATGTATCTGTTGGCCATTTGTATGTCTTCCTTTGAAAAATGTCTGTTCATCTCCTTTGACCTTTTTTTAATTGGATTATTTGGTTTTTACTCCATAGTTGTTTGAGTTCTTTATATATTCTGGATATTAATCCCTTGTTGCATGTATAGTTTGCAAATACTTTCTCCCATTTCATAGGTTGTCTCTCTGTTCTGCTGATTGTTTCCTTTGCTGTGCAGAAGCTTTTGAGTTTGATATAATCCCATTTGTTTATTTTTGCTTTTGTTGCTTGTGCTTTGGGGGTCTTATTCCTAAAGTCTTTGCCCAGTCCTATTTCCTGGAGTGTCTCCCCTATGTTTTCCTTTAGTAATTTTATGGTTCGGGATCTTATATTTAGGTCTTCCATCCATTTTGTGTCCGGAGCCATAGAGCCCGGCTGCCTG